CGATGGATGGATGGGAGGAAGGATGGATGAATAGGATGGATGGATGGCTGGATGGGAGGAAAGATAAGATGGATGAAGGATAGATGGAAGGAAGGATGGATGGATAGATGATAGAACAATGGATGGATGATGGAAGGATGGACGGATAGAACAATGGATGGAAGAAAGAAAGGAAGGCTGGAAGGAAGGATGGATAATAGATGGATGAATGGATGGAAGGAAGGCTAGATGGAAGGATGGATGGATGAATGGAAGGATGAATAGAAGGATGGATGGATGAATGATTGAAGGATGGATGAATAGAAGGATGGATGGATGGATGAATAGGATGGATGGAAAGCAGCTGCTGAAAATTGCCACCATAACTCTTTAAAATTGCTCTTACTGTATTCGTGTTTAAAACCTCTCATCTTTCTTTTCATAATTTTGGATTGTTCTTTAAATTGATTTTAACACTAAAACACAGATTGATAATAAATGAGAACAGAGAATAAAAGAAAAGCAGATGATAATATTTTTGTCATGTCTGTTATCAAGTGTCCATGGAGCAATGGAAAAAGTTTAATTACAACAAATATTTGGAGTCAACTGGATTCAAGATGGCCGCCACAGAAAAGGTTCAGTCAATTTCACAAGAGTTTGGTGTGGTAGTAGCTGAGCCTGGTCCTCAACACCTGAGGACCAAAGACATTTTTGTTTTTAATGTCAGTTGGCTGTGGCAGCCATTTTGAAAAAAAAAATAGTAACTTTTACTTTTCGTGACCTGCATGCTGGCAGCACGGTGGCGCAACTGGTAGAGTTGCTGCCTCTCAGCGAGCAGGTCCCTGGTTCAAACCCCGGTCCAGAGGCCTTTCTGGGTGGAGTTTGCATGTTCTCTCCGTGCATGCGTGGGTTTTCTCCGGGTACTCCGGTTTCCTCCCACAGTCCAAAAACATGCATGTTAGGCTGATTGGTAACTCTAAATTGTCCCTAGGTGTGAGTGAGAGAGTGAATGTTTGTTTGTCTCTATGTGGCCCTGTGATGGACTTGCGACCCGTCCAGGGTGTACCCCGCCCCTCGCACAGTGATTGCTGGACATGGGCACCAGCGACCCCCGTGACCCAAAATGGAATAAGCGGGTAAAGAAAATGGATGGATGGATGGACCTGCATGCTGTGAACAGTTTGTGTGAAGCTGACATTTCTTCTGCTGTGATTTCATCTGAAAAATAAATCTGTCAAAAAGTATTTAATAGAAACTTTACTGATGTGTAAACTTAGGGGAAAATGGACAAAATGCATATTTAATGTTATTCTCTGACTTATGACAGTCATGTGAGAAAGAAAAATAAAAGCCCTGGGAAACTTTAGGATGCTGCACATTTTGAATCCACAAACTTTATTCATCTTGGTGAGCCACTGATTTACAGTACATTCAGGACAGAGACGTTTCGTAGTATTAACAGGCCCGTTTCAGTCGTAGGTTTGAAAATCTTGGTGGTTTTATTGTAAGTATTGCATCTTCAACATACACAACTAGAGTCACCATCATCATCATCATCATCAGAGTGCATGTTTTACACAGAACAGCCACAGGTTGAGAACAACAGGAAGGCTCTGTACTGCACACAAGACTGTTTGAGAGAGAGGTCTGGATAGCTTCTCGGCCTCCTGAGAGACCGACACCAGAACAAAACTGCACCCGTTCCACTCAGGACGGTCCACCTCAGGACTGACCTGAAAAACTACAACTCGAACTTGAACATTGACGTGAAAAATATAGCTTTGTGAACGACAGCTTATGAAGATTTTCTTATAAATCTGTGGCAGAGCCAGAAACTTTCACTCAGACCTCCCGATGAACTGATCCAGGACCAGTCTGCACCAAACTGACCATTAGGCTGCAGTCGACTTTGACCTGTGGTACACCAAACAACTCCCAGGAGGATAAAAAATCAAATAAAGCAGCCTAAAGCAGTGGTTCCCAACACTGGTCCTTGAGGAACACCATCCTGTATTGTGTTAATTATTTCCATGCTCCAAAACTCCTGATTCAGTGATTTAATTACTTCCTCATGTTCTACAGAAGCCTGCTACATCACCCATTTATTAAAATCACGTATTGGAGCAGAGAAACAACTAAAACATGTGGGATGGTGTTCCTCAAGGACCAGTGTTGGGAACCCCTGGGTTAAAGAGATGTGTGCAGACTGGTGAAGGATTAGCATTAGTAAGAATATGAAGACACACACACTGAACACACACGAGGAACTGACCCACCGGTCCTTTTGTTTTAAGCAATCGTGGAGTACAATATCAGAGCGTTCTGCCACGTTAGGCAGGACAGAGGGTTCCCCAACACTCTGATCTGTGCCAGTGCAGTAAAACACACGGTGTCGTACAGGTACGTCTGATCTTTGGACAGGGAGTGAAACATATCCATGGTCAAACGTGTGTGTGTGTGGGGGGGGAGGCCTCCGTCTGTCAGCAGTGCAGCTTCATAAAACAAGAAAAAAACAATAAAGCAACAAAAAGACGAAGGTCATTAACTTAAACAGGGTAGAATAAAATGTAAACTGTCCCTCTGAAAAAGAGAGAAAGATAAAAGAGAGGTGTTTTTGGCTTATTTATTTTTGAACTATTCAAGTACCAGCTGGGGTGTCATTCTGATTTGGTGCCAAGTCCAACAACCTCAATAAACGTGTCAAACCTTTAGTGACGTCCTTCGGATAAACCAAAGGTTCTTTTATGGTAAAAGTTTCTTCAAACCTTCAGTCCGAGTCCTTTTAACTGTAAGACGTACTTTATGAACCAAAACAACTAGAGGAAGGTGGAGTTTTAGACCCCTCTTATTGTGTAGTAGCTGGCACAGTATCTGCCAGTCAAGTCTTGGAGGTCATAGTCTTGTGCAGAGGCGACCCCCCCACCACCACCCATCTACCTCTAACAGCAGGGAGCAGTGGTTTTGGATCCATCGTGCTGCTGGGGAGTCGGATCTGAACAAGGCTGAAAACAGGTGAGGCTCAGCACCAGGAGCAGCTTAGGGGCCAAGTACATTTCAAGTGTCCATCAAATAAAACAGAAAATCATAGCTACATATTTATTCAATTCCCTAACCCCCCCCCCCCACCCCGAAAAACAATCAACCTAACAATAACCCATAAAATATACAATTTTTCAAATAAGGAATGAGGAATATTTATTAAAAATAGAAGTGAAATAAGATAGAACCATAATAAGTTAACTTTTTCCTCTAACGCTTGTGCTCTTAAAGGGATTGAGAAATAAATATTCAAAATGGTGGCGATGGGGGAGGGGTGTGTGTCTTTTTTTTTTATCTTTACACACAGATGAATGGACATGGCAGTGGGGGAAAGAAAATAAAGAAAACTGGTTCAAGTGTGACGCTATTGAAGCTGGGGCAACAATCGACATCATACAACTCGTTTTCTTCTCGCCGCATGTCAAACACCGGACCACCAGAGGAATGCCACGTGCACACGTAAAAAAAAAAAAAAAAAAACGAGCGAAAGAGAGAGACAGAGAAAAAAGAAGCAGAATAAATAAACAAAACAAAAAAAAATAATACAGCAGGGCTGCTTTAAATCTGCATCCTCCAACAAAACTCCCACAGGATGAAGAGCTGCTCGGGTGGTTTTTCAAAATCACACACGCATCTCGTTCCCTCTCAGGTGTGGGAACGTAATTTAAATTTTTTTTTAAATGTTTCAAACAGCAAAGAAATGTTGCATTCACTGCCACTTTGAAAGGGATAAGGCAGTGAACGCATCGCTAAAATTGTCCCAAAAATGGAATTTAAAATGCACAAAAATCACAAGTCAGACAGCAACAGAGGCAGAGCTCTACCTTTAAATAAAAAAAAAACTAAAAAAAAAAACTTTTAGATTCATTAGTGAAGCTGTTTGTATGTACACAAAAAAAGAAGTTTTTGTTTGTTTTGGACGGTCAAACACAAGTCTTTAGGTAGGAGGAGGAAAAAAAATCTAACTGAAGACAAAAACTATGAGTTATTGCTCGTTACTGCTGGAAAAGTTTGTAGCGGTTTGGACTTTTTCCTCGTTGCTGCTGTTGTTGTGTCTCTTCTCAGTTTGTGGCTTTTTTTATGGAGCGCTCTAAAGAAGGCAAGTGCTGGGTAGCTTGTAGCTGCTTGTCTGGAGGGGGAAAGGAAATAAAACTAAACTCACACGTACACACAAAGTTACAATTTCCACTCGTTGAAAACGCTCTCAGAACCAACACAGGGCAGGAATGTTTTTTTTTAATGTTTTTTTTTAATCGTCTTCCACGTCGGAGGCCGTTTCCGTTCGTGCTCGGCTAAAAACACTCACAGCAGATGGGCTGTGTTTGCTTTAAAAGCTCGGAGGTGGTGGATCTGATCTGCTGCCCCCGCCGGTTGCCTTTGTTTCACAGTAGCACCAATTTAAGAGTCCAAGCCTCTGTTGTGTCGAGGAAATCATGAGGAATAAAAACAACAACAAAATCATAAGACGAGGGTTCTACTTAGAGCTGTAGGGACGTTTTTCAAGGCCAAGCTGGATTTATATGGCAGGACTCACCCCGTGGTTAAATCAGCTCTGAGCCCGACAGCGGAGCGTTTCAAAGGATCATTAAAGAACAGCTTCAATATTATAAGTGCATTTGGAGTTAAACTGGGGGTTGTCAATCTTTTGAAAAATGCGAATGTTTGATAAAGAAAGAAGTAAAATTAACTTCGTTGTTGTTGTTGGGAATACATAAAGTATCTGATCTCCCTTTAAAAGAACCACCTGGCAGTCTTGCGTCACTACGCCGGGGGGTCTCTGGTACCGGTGTTGGTCGGGATGGCTCACATGGCAGGGAGAGAGGGGAGCGGTGTTATTCAGGCCGTCGTCGGGGGTGATGGCATGGCTGGATGGAGAACAACGGAGAGGAGGGCAGGCAGGTTTGGCAGGGGTGGAGGTGGTGGCTTTAAGAGGAAAAGGCAAGTTTGACGCTGCAGGAGGAGTAGCCCTCGTCGCTGGCCATGCTCTGCAGGCTGCTGTGGTCGTCCAGGTCGCTGGTGCTGGCTGTGCTCACACTGTCCAGCTCTCCATGGGAGAACTCCGTGCTTTCTACGTCGACCTCGATCTCCTCTGCAGCCCAGGATGGAGAGGTGGGTAGTTGAGGAAAGAGGGGAGAAAGGAGAAATTGTTTTAACCGTTTCATCCACCGTCAAAATCTATTGGAGCTAAATCATCCTGTGCACTCTGCTACATACAGTATTTAGAATGGTTTTAAATCCATTCTATAATTTGTAGAAACAATAAATCAGAAAGTAATATAGACAAACTATGTACAGTATAGTCACGTTATAAACATGTTGTACACTAAACAATAAAGCATTTTGTTAAAACTATTTTCAGGAAACATGTTTTCAGGATTTTATGACCACTCTTTGAAGACACGTTTGGATTTTACACTGGTTTCAGACACATTCAGTGTCTCTTCTCCTAACGTTCAGTCCCTGAATGCATCAGTCCGGTCCAGCTCGCTCACCTTGGTCAGAGTCGGAGCGGTCGGAGCAGAGGGTGGAGCCAACGCTGTCCATGCGTACCCTCTCGCCCTCCCCCGAGCTGCTCTGGACTGCAGCGCCACTGCCCCCCTTCAGCAGCTCGAGCTGACGCTGGAGGTGCCTCTGCTCGCGCTCCAGAGACTCCAGCTGGTACTGGCTCTTCCTGTCCGCCTCTTCAAGTTTCTGCTCAGGAGAAAGAGAGGTGGGGACAGAGGAGAGGTCAGGTGAGGTCACCTGGGAGCAGTGGCTCTGTGGGATTACCAGAACAAATGCAAAGACTGAACAATGTAACACCAGACAGGAAGTTGTTTAATGGTTATTGTTTGATTTCAAATTTCAGTTAGTTTAAAGAAAATATTTTATTTGGAACTTTTGCAATTTTTTAGTGACTTTTGTGAGACAGGTATGCTAAACTCTTCTCAATTTTGTTGCAGATGTCTCTAAACAGTTTCATGAGTGCTAACGGTGTATTTTGACACCTGCACAGGAGTTCTCCTCTACCTCTCCATTTCAAAGGTTTACAGTTATGAGAGTCAAGCACGCAAAAATAAGAGGGGAATTTCGAAAACTGGCCACACAAAACGCGACAACACAACTTGCTGGTCACCAAAAAAAAAAACCCAACAACCTCAGAATTAAGCGAAGGTGCAATGAAATTGGTGTATTTTCTCACAACACTGAGTCTAATGTGAGTCACCAACTAGTTCCCAACAGTCACAGCCCAGTGAGATACCAACGGAACAGACCTGAGTTTTGGGTGACATCCATTCCTGACCACCACCGCGGAGCGTTAACCTTAGCAGTGTTGTGGCTTCACCCGACAGGAGCTCCTAAGATTCTTCAAAGTACGTTTGGTTTACTGTCAATAAGTCAACCTTTGGTTTGACTGAATACCTTTTATTGAAATGTTGATCATAATGGTCAGTAGTTAATGGAAGTACAAAACAACAAATTGCAGTTGAAAAAAAATGATGCAGAAAAACTAGTTCATGCATTTGTCATGTTTAGATTGGACTATTGCAGTGGTTTGTTATCTGGGTGTCCAACTACTTCTTTAGAAAGTCTTCAATTAATCCAAAATGCTGCTGCCAGAGTCTTAACTGGAGCTAGTAGGAGAGATCATATCTCTCCAGTTTTAGCTTCTCTCCATTGGCTCCCTGTCAAATCCAAAAATGAATTCAAAATCTTACCTACAAAGCTCTCAACAACCTAGCTCCATCTTATATTACAGATCTTATTGTTCCATATTTTCCTAACAGGAACTTTGCTCTCAGACTGCAGGTTTACTTGTGGTTCCTAGAGTTTCCAAAAGCAGAATGGGATGCATTGCTTTCAGTTATCAGGCTCCTCAGGATTTGGCTTAAGTCTTTCCTTTTTGATAAATCCTATAGTTGGGGTTGGCTTTCCTGAGCTATCCCTTAGTTGTGCTGCTATAGGCTTAAGCTGCTGGATGACAAATAGACCACATTTCCTCACTCTGATGATGTCTTTACTTGCTCTACTCAACCCGTTTTTATTTGTAATCATTTCTATCCTTAACATCTGTTTTTTGTCTTTCTTCCAACAGAAAGTACATCTGGACCTGACATTTTGTGTTCGTTTCTCCTTCCTGTTCCTTTCAAACCCCAGCCGGTCGAAGCAGATGACCGCTTGTCCTGAGCCTGGTTCTGCTCGAGGTTTCTTCCTGTTAAAAGGGAGTTTTTCCTTTCCACTGTTGCCTTCATGCTTGCTCAGGATGGGAGACTGTGAGGGAGTGAAGATTCTGCACAATCTGCTGGCTTCTTCTAACTTTACTAAATGTCTTTTGTAATACTGTATATGTGAATGTTTTTGTACAGCGCCCTGAGACAACTTCTGTTGTGACTTGGCGCAATATAAATAAACTGAATTGAATTGATGCTTTTATTGTGTGAAATAAATAGAAATTTTAAAATTGATCAAAAAAGAAACTACTGTGATTTTTGGCTTGAAAAAATACAGAATGCTTACACACTAAATATGTACAGAGTGAATGAGGCAAATTATAATAAGTTGAGATAAAATAACAAGGTTGCATAACACCGAGAACAATAGAGAGAGAGAGAAAAAAAACAGAAAAAAGAAGAGAAGGGAAAGCTGGGGGATTAACTGAACAACAACTGAGAAACTAGTTAATTAGTATGAGAGGAAAATCTTTATACATGAAAAGATTGTAAAAATTACAAATGCAGAAACTATAAACAAAAGCTCCCCCCACTATCAGTTATCAGTGAGTCATAAACATCCTTGGATTTTCCTACAGCTGACCCTGAAAATGATTTTCCACTTTTGTGGCGTTCACATCCACTCCTTGACTTTCTTCGTTAACACGTTATGTCGTTGCGAAACAAGCAGGGGCCAAGGCAGTGCCTGACACAGCAGAGTGGTGTTCTAACCTTCCAGCCTCGTGTCACACTCGCTGACACTAACGAGCGTGACTCTTGAGTGACGGGGAAAAACAATAGGCCATCAATAAGCAATGGAGAGACTCCCGTTGACAGTAGCAGAAGTGTGGTGGGGTGGCTGGGGGAACAACAGCACTGGCTTTATACTTCCTCCCTCGGCACGTGAACGCACACCGAGTGGTGCTTTTCACACGCAGACTGCTCGGTCTGAGGCAGTCACATCCTCGTTTTGACAACTAGATTGAACAGCAAAATCTGTTTTCTGTAACCTTGATATTTCATTAAACATATGAAAACTGAACATGCATGTCTGAATCACCCCTGAAGAGGTGTTCAACACTGTTTTGCAACAATATTCTAACACTGAACCTATGCAACCTATAAAATAACCCAAACATGAAGCATGTGTGTTAATCTGACATGTGATCAGCCGTTTGAAGAAATCCATCAGATTACATTGCCAAGTAACTAAATAACTAAAAGAAAACCTAATAAATAAAACTTTACTTCATCATATTACTGGCAATAGCTAACCTAGTTTGTTGCCCTTCAGCATGAGACACAAACGGACTAAATAAAAACATCTTGTAAGTGTTTGAGTTGCAGGTTTCGGTTCTGCTCTCTGACTGCTGCCACTGCTGTTTTGTACAAAATGCCAGTTTTATATGGAAATGAAACATGTTTTGAGCAAACTATCTCCAAGTCATGAAATAATAACTTAAATTTTGCATGGTACTCATGTTTCTTTATAGACAAACTGCAGTATATGTTGTTCACCAACATGCTCAAATGAAATCATGAACAAAACAAATAGGTCCAGATAATGGATGGCTGAATTGATATAGTGCATATGAATAAATTTGAATTTTCGTGTTTTAAGTAGCCATTTATGTAACGTATCACACAAAAGGTTTTACTTTTTGCTGTGCATCATTACAACATTCCCAGAGGGACACGTAAATATAATTGTCTTTCCCTCTTTCAGTGTGTCATTGTTTAGCACACAGCACACATTAGTAGATGTACCTTTATATGTGCTTTGGCTTTGTTGAGTAGGCCCAGGGTGGTGTGGCGGCTGCAGTCAGGTCCCAGAGGTATGAGGGCCTTCAACCTCTCTAGACACAGCCGCAGGTGAGCTCGTCTACACAGGAAAGACAAACAGGAAGGAACACAATAGCTGGATAAATAAAAAAAGTCACAATAGGCCAAGGTGAATGCATAGGCAGTGTTGTTAAAAATGTCTCCTGGAAGGAAGGTGACCTGTTGAAAAAGTACCTGAAAAGTTGTTTTGATTATCTGATAACTACCATTATGTTAGATTGAGCGTCTGAAGGTTCCTGAAATTCCTGAAGCTGCACAGATACAAATCAAAGAGGTGGTTTGTCATCTTTTAAATGCAGGCCTAATAAAAAATGTTCACTTTGTAGGAAAACATGAGCCTTTGTGGCTCACTTATGAGAAATTTCCAACACAGCATATAATAATAACATATATCTTGCTGTGAAACGTCATGCGCTGTAGATATTGCTTGTGTCCAGCTTTAGAAACTCTTCATGGCTTCATTACAAAACACATTTTACCTTGCAGGGGTAGGAAGGGAGGTGGGGGCAGCGGTGTAATGTCATATTTTGAACTCTGCCCAGCTTGTACACTTGTCCTCCTGACATTACCTTATTCTGTGATTGGAGACAAGCCACAGGTACCATCTATCCAGCTAATGGACCCAACTTGAGAGGTAAAGGGAGATAATTGTAGCTTTAACCCAATCAAGGATCCATTAGTAGGTCCTACCCTTTAAGCTACCCTGAGGAAAAAGGTGGAGAGACATTAGGAGTCAGTAGACTCAGTGGAGTGACCCAGACTTGTATACGTATAATCTCTGGGACAGTACAAAAGAAGACAAGCTCAGAAGACCAGAGCAGGAATTCAATGCAAATGCTGCAGTCTGCTACGCTCTGCTGCCTTTAAACTGGTGGTTACGTGCAAGCACCAGCCAGAACATATCTGGCTGTGTGCACGTGTGTTTGTGTGCGTGTAGCGGTTAAGCGTGGATGGTGCTGATAACAGCAAGCCATTACACCCCTTACCCTTGTACTGTATGGGTTATTGTATGTGAACAAATGTGGCATGTCTGCAGACTAAACACGCCAGCAGACGTCTGCTGCGGTCTGCAGCGCCACAAGTTTGGAAGTCACAAGACAACCCCCCACCTCCACACACACATGCACAGAGATGATTTGCATGATGCCCATCAGTCTGGCTATGGTCATCTGTCTGTGTAATCAGCCCCATTCAAGCCACCTGGACCACGGAAATGCATATCTGTAACTTTCATCAGTACCTACACAGATATCAGTTGGCACCTATTCACACCCTAACCTCCACAGCCAGGAAGGTATGGTGGGGTGGGGGATGGGCGCTTCTCCACCCGTGAGAGAGTGCACTCAAATCATGGAAGAATATTTCTTAACGTGGTTTAGTTTCTGTTGATTGTATTCATAATAATTTATGGTAATGGATCAACAAGGCTTTAAATCTATTTCACAATTCAAGTTTGATGTTCCTTGAAATTGTTTATTGTGATGTTATAGCTGAAGACATGGCACAAACATTGTTTTTTTTAATTACACGGAGCAACGATTGACACAAATACACAGTTTATAGTTTTAAAACCTAACCTGCTATAAATGTGAACACACCTTAGTCACTCCAACTAATAATACTTCTTAGGCACTAGAAGCTACTTTCCCCTTAGTTGCAAACATTTTCCCCCAGATAACCACAGACTGCCTGATAAAGCAGAGAGAGATGAGCAGGACGCAGCGATCACGAGTGGGCCTGTCTGTCTGAAAGTCCAGCCTATCAGGCGTAAAATTAACTCACTCCAGACACTGGAGACTCAGCTGAGACTGAAACTACCATCTCAGCAGACAACCCTAGATAACCCCATTTACAAGCACTCCTGCTTTTTGTTCTCCCTTTGACTTCCCCCAGTGATGTGAAAAAAGATTCAGTGGGAGCTGAGGTGTGCCAACCATACAGGTACAGCAGAGTTTCAATAACTGCCTAATCTCGGCAAATATAAAAATTTTATTGTTAATCTTAGGACTTAAAACCACAGATATACGAGGTGTCACTTGTAGAGCTGTTGATTCACCCCAAACACTAACCACTCAGATGAAGCTTGACCTCTTTCAGCACTATAGTTTCTTGGTTCTACTGTACTTGAATTCAAAATCTTACTTCTAACCTACAAAGCTCTCAACAACCTAGCTCCATATTATATTACATATATTATTGTAACATATTTTCCCAACAGAGCACTTCGCTCTCAGACTGAAGGCTTACTTGCGGTTCCTAGAGTTTCCAAAAGCAGAACAGGAGGCAGATTGTTCAGTTATCAGGCTCTTCTCTTGTGGAACCAACTTCCAGTTTCTGTCCGTGAGGCTGACACATTGTCCAGTTTTAAGACTGGGATGAAGACTTTCCTTTTCGATAAATCCTATAGTTAGGGTTGGCTTGTTATTCTGCTATAGGCTTAAGACTACTGGAGGACAAACTGACCTAATTTTTTAAACCAATTGTTAAAATTGAACAGTTTTCATTTGATATTATTTCTATCTTAACATTTGATTCTTGACCTGCCATTGTGTATCTGTTCCCGTTCCTCTCAAACCCAGCCGTTCGAAGCAGATGGCCACTTGTTCCGAGCCTGTTCTGTTAAAGGTTTCTTCCTTGTTAGGGAGTTTTTCCTTTCCACTGTTGCCTTTATGCTTGCTTAAGATGAGAGTCTGCGATGAAGTTAAACTCAAAGCAGTCTGCTCCTCTGATAAATAATGATATTAACTTACTTTTTATAAATATGAATGTTTCTGTTCAGTGCCTGAGATGACTTCTGTTGTGACTTGGCGCTATATAAATAAACTGAATTGAATTGGACTTGATGCTATTTCAGGCACAATTGGAACCCCCCCATTTGACATTAAAAAAAGAAAGCAAACCAACTTGTTGGCAACTTTAAGCAATACTTATTATCGGTGGACACAGGTATAAAATGCATGCTGGCATTTATTCTTATCTTTGTGAGTGTGACACACCCAACTGTGTTGCACCCTGATAATTATACATGACAAAAATCCCCGAAGCATGAGGGAGTGCCCAAATAGCAGTATGTAATTGTGAAGGACAAAGGAGAGAGGTACTGTACATCTTTGCAACTTGCATTAGATATCCTGATCATGGTAAAGTATAAGTTTCAAGAGGCCACAAATTTCAAGAACCTTTCTTGTGAATATTCTCTAATTATAGCATTAGGGTCATGGGTCTATATGTGGCTTTTAAAATGCACACTTGTTGGTAAACCACCACCGCTAACAGTAGATTAACTCAAAGCGTTTGAGTCAAAAGGCCACTACATGATGTCTTCATCTTTTTATTCCCAAGAGAGCAGGTATCTGGAGTGTTATAGAGGGAGTGTTAGCTGAGGAGGTATGACCTACAGACAGAGCCAAACATCATCCTATCTGGATAACTTTTAAGTGCTTCACTAAGCGGTCAGAGGTCATAAGCTCCTGGTGATCACCCCCAACAAAAAATCCCTAAGAGGTTTGTTTATCATGTCCTCATCTGAAAATCTTTAGCCCGAATAAGTGTGCTTGTGACCATAAATACCTGCATGCTGCAGGAACAATCTTTTATTATTATTATTATTATTATTGACTCCACCCTCTTGGAGCCACATAACCAGCAACAGAGGTTTCTGTTTCCAGAGTTCTTAGAAAAGCCTGGTGCAGGTTACATAAACAGCTATGGATTTACTGTGAAGCCTCATAACTTTGCGTCCTTGGCTGCTAATGCTAAGGATTTGTTGAGTATTTGTGGTAAAAGGATGTTACGTAGCAGGAACACAGGCTGTTTTGATGGCTCACTCTTGGTTTAACAAACAGAGAAATAGGTGTTGAGGTGGTAAAACTACTCTCTACCGATGAGTGGCCACATCAGCAAATGCTAAACAAAAAAATATCACAAATAAGTTGCCAAAAATTGTTTTGTACTTCACATCTCCAGTGTTGTGAATGGCATGGAGAGCTGGAGGTTGTTTGAATGAAGAGCTCTCCATCTGTAATGGATTACCTAATGTGGTTTGTTGCAACCAGGACTTTTAAAGGGTCACAAATAGCATGTCAAATTTCTAACCTACAAATAACAACAAAAAACAAGCTAAAGGTTACTGAGAATCTAAAAATAACATTTTAGTGGACGATTCCTTTTTTTTTTTTTTTTTGTCGTGACTGGTTGGTGCATGTAGGCTAACAGTGGCCCACGCTCTCTACAGAGCACATCTATGGACAGATCGATGCATAACGGAACCAGCTATTAAAATAAAACCACATCTAAAGCTGCCAGTGTAGCTGCTGATCTCCCACATGTGAATGGGAGTTACCTGGAACACACAAAGAAAATATTCACAGCCTCAGGAAAACAGGTTTACGGGTGATTTTAGTTCTTGTTCAGCGAACAATATGATGAGCGTTGTTGCAGTTTTCTTTTTAACTGTGTTATTTTGATGCCACATTTTAATGTTAACTGTTTTGATGAGAATTATGAAATACTGTTTTCGCTTAATCTTTTTAACAGATAAAAAAAATCAGATTTTTGGCTAAGAAAACAAATACTATTTAAAAAAAACCTGGTGTTTAGCTATAAAATAATCGAACCAATAGTTGGTACAAACATGGCTAAAGCAATCAGTTGATTCGATCAGTACTAACAGAAAATTATATCCGTTATGACATTATGCAGTTCTCTGCCATATCCTTAAGAAAAGGATGGCAGGCATCCTCCAGAGACAACGAGCTGCTTCCAAAGTACTCACTTCACTGGAGTATGTAGGCATGTGTGTTTCTGTCAAGCTTGGGACTGTGTGTATGTGAATGTGTGTGTGGCTGTGACTCGTGTTCCTGACAGGCCCCAGATGGGTGCACAGGCAGGCAGCTCTGCCTTTTGGCTTTGACATGTGAACAAGCAGCCAGCCAGCCCTGGGTCACTGCACCACACCTTTCCTCTCATCTATCCAGCTCTTTAAACAAGACTTCACTTGCATAACTTTATGCGTTTATACATTTATTTATTGAAAACCAA